GGGAATTTATACTTTCAGAGAAAGAGCCGTGAATAGACAAATGATGTTCCCCAAATTTTATTCTTATTCTGTATTACATCAATTGGCTTCTTCATATAGTACAGAAACACTGAATTTTATTTTAACAACTTGCTTGAATTTAGAGGAGGAAAGCCAAATCCAACTCAAAAGCCAGCCTTGGTTTAATTGAATAGAGACTAGAAAGTAAAGAGAAATAGATTATATATAGAGACGTTTTTAGAGTTTACCATATGACAAATTCCTTTTGTTTGATGGTTCTTTTTGGATAGCTACTTTCTCTTCTATAATTATCAACCCATGCAGTGTCTTTTTGCTTTCTGGAGATGAGTTTCCCTGTGAAGATAAAAACAAAACACTTCTCTTTCCTTTGTGATGTTTCTATACAGTTTATGAGATATACCTTGGTGGATGACCTGTCATTTCTCCTCATCGAGAGGTTTTTCTTGTTCGACTCGAATCTTGATCAACTTTTATGGTATCTAAATCTTTTCTTCTGTGGAAACAAAGGCAAAACCCCTTACACAACGTAACACATGTCCTGGGTTCCATACAGAGGTCAATACATCTTTGAAGTATATTGGCTGATTTAGTTCAGAAGTTTTTTCTGTAGTCCAGTGTCTTTCTGCAACTGTTTGTCCTTTCTCATTAGCATTACGAAAGTTTAGTGTTAATAAAGCATTATGTAACCTATGTTAGGGGTTTTTGTTCCCCCTGCCTGTTTATGGAGCATTTCTTTCAATGTTCGATTAGATCTCTCTACCACTGCTTGTCCTGTGGGATTGTGTGGTATACCGGTCACATGCTTTATGTTATAATATTTGAAAAACTGTTCTAATTTGGTGGAGACATATGCTGGAGCACTGCCAGTTTTTATTTGTGCAGATATACCCATAATGGCCATTACCTCTAACAGGCATGTTATAACAGAATTGGCCTTTTCAGAGCTAAGAGTAGTAGCCCACTGAAACCCTGAAAATGTGTCTATAGTATGATGCACATATTTTAAATTTCCAAATTCTGGAAAGTGAAATACATCCATCTGCCAAACCTCATTTCTCTGAATGCCCTTAGGATTACAGTCTGCTGACAATGGAACTTGATTATAGAATAAACAGGTAGGACAGTTTCTCACTATCTCTCCTTGGTTTATTGCCAATTGATGGAAAAATCCTTTTTTTAAAACTTTGCTATTTACATGGTGTTTCTTATTAAATTCTGAGGCTTCTAGCATGCTTCTTATTAATAAATGATCAATCTCATCACTGTCTTGTGATAGTGGGCCTGGCAGTATGGGATTAGTCCTGTTCCTGATTATTTCTTATTGTATAAACAGTGAAGTTAATTCTGTATCATCAGGAATGAATTCAGCAGTCTCAGTGTGTAGAAGACTCCCTCTGCATATTGAGAATCAGTAACTATATTGAGAGGCTCTGTAAAATCCATAAGTACAAGAATTGTGTGTAATTCTGCCTTCTGTACAGCAGTATATGGACTTTGAATTACTTTACTTATCTCTCCTGATTCATATCTTGCCTTACCTAATTTGTTCTCATCAGTGTAGAAGGTAAGGACTCCAGAAATAGGTGATTTTCTTACAATACGTGGAAGGATCCAGATTGTCTTTTTTATGAATTTAATTCTGTCAGTTTTGGGATAATTGTTGCTAATAGTTCCCAAAAAAGCTATCTGCCAGTATTTATTGTCCTTCCAAAGGAGGAAATTTCCCCATTAGTTAAAGGTACTATAATTTCTGCTGGGTCTTTTCCAGTCAGTTGACAAAGTCTTAATTTGCCATTTAGAATCAAATCAGAAATCTTTTCTATGTACGTCTTTAGCTTTTTATTCTGTTTATGTGGTAGAAATATCCATTCTAATAAAATAATCCCTTCTGCATCAGAATCTCTTAAAGGTATTCTCTGGATGGTAAAAATAACAAGAATGCAGTCTAAATTAGGGTCCATGTGGTCTACATGTGCGTCCAGTATTCTATTTTCCACCCATTGTAATTCTTTTTCCGCTTCAGCGGATAATATTTGTGGACTGTTTAAGTCCTTGTCCCCTTTAAGGGCCATTTTTAAATGCTTTAAGTCATGTTGTTCTACTCCAATTATTTTTTCTGTAGTTGAGAAATTTCCTGTAGCAATCTCTGTAGGTCATTAAGAGCTTGGTAACGATCTCTTCTAATTTGTACTTTTTGCAGCCTGATTTTTTTGTAAGTCTATCTTTTAACCTAAATAATTAATAGAATCTCCTCTCTGTATCTTTTCTGGGGCAATCTGTAATCCCCAACGAGGTAGAACTTCCTTCACTGTCTCAAACATCTGTTCTAATGTTTCCTTCTTAGAATCTGACAATAATATGTCATCCATATAATGATAAATTATGGATTGTGGAAGTTTCTTATGAATTATCTCCAAAGGTTTTTTACAAAGTGGGACACAAGGTGGGAGTATTTAACATTCCCTGTGGCAAAATCTTCTACTGCAATCTCTTAACTGGCTGTGAATGTACCAAGAATGCAAATTTTTCCCTATCCTTTTCTTGTAACGGTCTAGTGAAGAAGTAATCCGAAGCAGTCTTTTAGATCAATGACTATGATCGGCCATCCTTTAGGTATCAAGGAAGGCAAGGGTATTCCAGGCTGAATTACTTTATTGATAGCTCTCAGGTCTGTCAGCATCCTCCATTTACCAGACTTCCTTTTGATAACAAATACAGGAGAATTCCAAGGGCTCGTAGATTCTTCTATATGTCCAGCATGTAGCTGTTCTTGAACTAACTTTTCTAAGGCTTCTAGCTTCTCAGGGGTCATAGGCCATTATCCTACCCAGACAGGTTCATCTGTAAGCCATTTTAAAGGAGAGCTTTTGGTTCCTCTGAAGGTTTATCATTTGTACTTTATTTACAGTCTGGATGGTTGGTATCTGTTTTCCATAGTGCCTTACTATATTTTGTCTACCATGTAAAGGTTGTATATGATTTGCAACTGATACTGAAGGGATGTTAATCTGGTTATTCCATTGCTGTAAAAGGTCAGGACCCCAGAGATTTATTGCGATATCTGCTACATATGGCTTTAACCTTCCTCTCTGTCCTTCTGGTCCTATGCAGATAACCCACCTAACACTCTACCATACTCTAGATAGAGTTCCAATCCCTAAAAATTGAACATTCGCCTCTTTTTAGGGGCCATCTCTGAGGCCAGGACTTTTGTGTTATAATAGTCACGTCCACCCCAGTTTCCACCAAACCAGTAATAACTTTATTATTTATTCTTACTTTCAACTGGGGACCCTCTGATCCTTTATAGAAGTTTGCCCAAGTGGGTGTGGTCATCAGTACCTCTAAACAGGATTTCTCCCTATACCTGTCTGATATAAAAACTTACAGTTCAATATAAATGATAGACATCTGGTAGCAAAAATAGGTTTTGAAACCTGTATACATTTCATTAAATAAATTGTGTGAATAACAAATAAGGATATAAAAAGATGTTTAACATTAGTTATTAAGGGAATAAAAATCAAAACCATGATGGACTGACTGTCCACCAAAGAGTGATATGGAATGATGTTTTAAATTTTAAATGAATTAATGTATTATATGTATATGTATGTGAATGCCAAAGCATGTGGGTGAAGCTTAGAAGATAACATGATAGTTGATTCTCTCTAACATTTGTGTCCCAAAATTTGAATGCATATTGTCAAGCTTGGCGGCATTTGGTGTCTTTATCTGCTGAGCTGTCTTGTTGGCTCTATTTGTTTTTGATACTCCAAGTGTCAAGGGCCATGAGGAATACAGCAGGATAACTAATATTCAACAGGCTGATCTACCACATGAGTGATAAGGGAGCTCCACCTGGTGTGGCCATGGAGTCACTGACTGTGGAAATCAGTTTCTCTTTTAGGCTATTTATCTCATGAGTCACTTCATCTCTTCTCTAAGAATAGCTTTGGGTGTTTCCCACTGCTTGTGTGTGTTTATCTCATGAAAATATTTCATCCATTGCACACATATACCTGTGGAAGTCAGGAGGATGACTTTTTATTTGGCTGTATAATCTTTATGTATAGAATATATACTGAGTGCCTTGAATTCTCCAAAAGGCCCAGAGAAAGGAAATTCCTTCTCACTGGGGTATCAGTGGTAAAAGCGCCTGCTGTTTATCCTGAGGCTGGAAGCAGGAGCCTCCAGATCTTACACTACATAGCCTTAGCTTTCCCCTTTAACCAGCTAACATTTGGCAAAAATGCTAATGCAAATCAAATGCCACCAGCTTTCCTTCTGCAGATTAGACCGGTTGCCATAGTACTTTGACGGTGTGTTCCCAGCCACCCATGAAAGCAAAAGCCAGAAAGCACAAAGCTACAGCATCTCGTCACCTTCTTTTTCTACATTTATCAATTACAAATTTCCAGCTTAATTGTCCACACACATGTAGTTTTACATACTAACTCCCTTTCTCCTGTTTTAGCAATCACAGTCCCTTACTCCATTAATGTTCCCTGCCTCTTAAGCTATGGTTGGTTGTGTCATGAGTCACATCCCCTCTGGAGACTTAAGGTGCCCGCTTTTGTCAGATCTTATCTGCTTTCCTGGCCCTTAGATGTGTATGCCTGGTATCCTTGCTGTTACCAGAGAATTGCTAATTGTGTCTGTGTGGGTATATAAACTGGAAACCTTGTGGGATAGGGGAGCAACTTTTTTTTGAAAAATAAAGAGCCATGAGAAGAATATGTGTGTGAGCTGATTTGTTTCATTCACCCTTGCATCCCCTTAGCCAACCCTACCTGCTTGCTGTAAGTGTCCTGCCTGGACCCTGAGGGACACCAAGGCTGGAACTCAGAGGTCCTCATTACCCAAGTAGCTATCATATGCTAGCAAATAAGAAACTCATTACCAGGAATAATTTAGTCCTTTTTGAGTTGGTGGTCAATGAGGTAATACTATTACTATTATTCTTGGTTACCTTCTAGAACTTTACAGTAAGACTCTATTGCTGAAGACATCTCACACTTGAGTCATAGAATATGGAGAACTCAAGACTGTACTCACCTGGAAGCTTCATCTCTATGACAGCTTTCTGAGTGATGGAAGACACTGTTAATGCTACCAGAGGAAAAAAGTAATTGTCAATCTTACCCAGCTATGTATGTACCCTGCAATCTATAACAAGAACTGGTCTGACAAGACATACTCATTTGTGCATCACCTGCATGAATGTTCTGGGAGTAACCATAGGACATCTATATCATAAACCTTCCCTATGGATCCAGGATCTTGACAGAAAAGAGAGCATAAGGCTGTAAGAGCCAGAGGTGGTAGATAACTTCAAGGAAATGGTGTTTTCTGGGCACAGTAGTGCAGTTGCACAAATGAACTTACAGAAATTGTGACAGAATGTGAAAGACCTGAATAAGCACAAGGCAGGCAAAATTCCATCATAGAAGGTGGGGAGGATACATACACATAATCCTACAAGTAGCCAAGGAGCTATTAGCAATAGCTGCTGGGAGAGGAGAGTTAGTATTCTTTAATGGTGTGACCCTATGTAAGTTGACCACACCCAGAGCAGGTCCCACTCCTAAGAACAGTTAGGTAACACAGGGGAGTCCATAGGTTTTTAAAAAGAGGAAAACTCTTAAGTTGGATGGGAAGGGAGGTGAGAAGGGTGATGATGAATCTGGAAGGAGTTAGGATAAGAGTAAATACAATCAAAAGAAATTGTATTAAATTAGCAAAGAATTAATAAAATATTAAATCAGAAAAAGCTGGTGCCAGGGTTGGGAAAGCCAATCCTACCCCCCCCCAAATAGCTGCACCAATTGGGAGTGTAGACCCTGTAGGTAGCCAGGGCAGCATAGTAGAGCTGACCCCATTGTGTGAGTCACAGATGATCCTGGGGATGGGAGAGCTTGGCCTGAGGTCATGAGAGTGAGAGCACTGGCACTGCCCCCAGCAGCCGCAGCAGCAGCACTAAGGAGAGCAGGCCCTGCACCTCACCTGAGCAGCCCAGTAAAGCTCACCCTGTTGGTAGAGGTATAGGCAAGCAGGCCAGGGGAGTGAGAGAGCAGGACTGATCCCCCCATCTGCCATGTGGTGGCAAGAGTGAGAGATTCAATGTCTTAGTCATAATTGTATTGCATTTTCAGAATAAATGTCATAGAAAAGTTTAAATATAGGTAACAAAAATAACATTGAAATACCCACTACCCTGAGATAATCAGCATAAAATTGTGGGTATACCTTTGGGTTTTTCTGCTTACAAATACATGCACAAAAGCATGTTTACACACACACACACACACACACACACACACACACACACACACACACGTAACTG